TCATAAATGCAAAAATTCTCAACAAAATATCTGCAAACTGAATTCATCAATACATTAAAAAGATTATGCAAAATAATTAAAGGAGAGTTATTCCCAAGATGCAGAGTTGGTTCAATATCTGTAAGTCAATTAACATGATATACTACATCTGATCATATCATTAGATGCAGAAAAAGCATCTGAGAAAATCCAGCACCAACTTATAGTAAAAACTCTCAGCAAAGAGAGGAGAGGAAACATACCTCAACATAATGAAGACTATATATGACAAACCCACAGCTAACATCAGACTCAATGGGGAAAAACTAAAAGGATTTCCCTTAAGATAAGGAATAAGATGGGGATGTTCACTTTTATGAACTTTTTGGTATAACCAATACATACTACATAAACTAGATAAACAACACATTCTGCAATCCCAATCCAGGAGTTACTGTTCCTTGTAAAATGCTACAACAGGGTAAAAAGCTATCTATAGCAACAATTTTAGCAGTAACCATGTGGTACTTCATCCATGTGTTTGAAAGATTTGAAGACTGAGGCATTATAGTTAATGATTTAATCATTCAGTTAAATAGATGGATTTACTACATACACTTTAGGTTTTTTTATTTATTTTACTTTTTTTATTTCTTCATTGTTATTCAAGTACAGCTGTCTCCATTTTACCGCCACCACTTTTCCCTGCCCCACCCTCAGCTCGCACCTCGCACCCCTCACCTCCAACCCTTCCGCCTTCCCCACTTTGGCTTTGTCCATGGGTCTTCATATATGCTCCTTGATGACCCTTCCCCTTCTTTCCCCAGTTACCCATCTTCCCCCGTCTCCTCTGGTTACTCTCAGCTTGTTCTTTATTTCAATGTCACTAGTTATATTTTGCTTGCTTTTTGTTTTGCTGATTAGGTTCCACCTATAGGTGAGATCATATGGTATTTGTCTGGCTTTTTGCACTTAGCATAATGCTCTCCAGTTCCATTCATGCTGCTGTGAAAGACAGTGGCTCCTTCCTTCCTTCCTTCCTTCCTTCCTTCCTTCCTTCCTTCCTTCCTTCCTTCCTTCCTTCCCTTTCCTTTCCTTCCTTCCTTTCTTTCTGCTGTGTAATATTCCATTGTGTAAATGTACCATAGTTTTTTGGTCCACTCATTTACTGATGGGCATTTAGGTTGCTTCTAGCACTTCACTATTGTAAATTGTGCTGCTATGAACGCTGGGGTGCATAGGTTCTCTTGAATTGGTGTTTTGGGATTCTTAGCATATATTGCCAGCAGTAGAATTGCTGGGTCAAAAGGCAGTTAAATTTTTAGCTTTTTGAGGAAATCCCAAACTGTTTTCCACAGTGGCTGCACCAGTCTGCATTCCCACCAACAGTGTATTAGGGTTTGTTTTTCTTCACAACCTCATCAGCACTTGTTTGTTGATTTGTTAATGATGGCCATTCTGACTGGTGTGAAATGGTATCTCATTGTGGTTTTAATTTGCATTTCTCTGATGGCTAGTTATGCTGAGCATCCTTTCATATGTCTCTGGGCCCTCTGTATATCCTCCTTGGAGAAGTGTCCGTTCAGATCCTTTGCCCATTTTTTAATTGGATTGTTTGTCCTCCTGGAGTGGAATCGTATGAGTTTGTAATATATTTTGGATTTCAAACCCTTGCCTGAGGTATCATTGGCAAATATATTTTCCTGTAAAGTTGGTTTGCTTTTCATTTTGCTGATATTTTCTTTAGCCATGCAGAATCTTCTTATTTTGATAAAGTCGCATTTGTTTACTCTTTCTTTTATGTCCCTTGCTCTAGGTGAAAATATTGGTGAAAATATTGCTGCATGGAATATCTGGGATTTTCCTGTGTTCTCCTCTAGGACTTTTATGGTGTTGCAACTTTTATTTAAGTCTTTTATCCATTTTGAGTTTATTTTTGTGTATCATGCAAGTTGGTGGTTGAGTTTCTTTCTTTCTTTTTTTTTTTTTGCATGTAGTTGTCCAGCTCTCCCAACACCATTTGTTGAAGAAGTTATTTTTACTCCATTTTATGCTTCCGCCCCCTTTGTCGAGTATTAATAGACCGTAGAGATATGGGTTTATTTCTGAGCTCTCTATTCTCTTCCATTAATCTATGTGTCTGTTCTTCTGCCAGTACCACACTGTTTTGATTAAAGTGGTTTTGTAATAAATATAGTTTGATGTCAGGTATTGTAATACCTCCTACTTTGTTCTTCTTTCTCAAAATTGCTGCTACAATTCAGAATCATTTATGGTTATTTGTAAAGTTTTGAAATATTTGTCCTATATCTGTGAAATATGTTATTGGTATTTCAATAGGGATTGCATTGAATCTATACATTGCTTTGGCTAGTATGGACATTTTGATGATGTTAATTCTTCCAATCTACGAACACGGTATATGCTTCTATTTGTTTGTGTCTTCCTTAATTTCTTTCTTCAGTATTGTATAGTTATCTGCATACAAGTCTTTTAGTTCCTTGGTTAGGTTTATTTCTAGGTACTTTATTTTCCTTGTTGGTATAAGAAATGGGATTTTTTTTCTTTATTTCTGTTTCTGATATTTCATTGGTGTACAAAAATGCCTTCGATTTCTGAATATTGACTCTGTATTCTGCTGTTTTTGAGCCAAATTCACTTATTAGGTTGAGTAGTTTTTTGGTGGAGTCTATGGGGTTTTCCATGTACACTATCATGTCATCTGCAAATAATGACTCTTTTATTTCCTCCTTTCCAATTTGGATGCCTTTTCTTTCTTTCTTTCTTTCTTTTTTTTTTTTTTTTGTCTGATTGCTGTGGCTAGGACTTCCAATGCTATGTTGAACAGAAGTGGTGAAAGCAGACATCCTTGTCTTCTTGTTCCCAATCTTAGTGGGAAAGCTTTTAGTTTCTGCCCATTGAGTATGATGTTGGCTCTTATGTTTTTCATATGTGGCCTTTATTATGCTGAGGTATGCCCCCTCCACTCCCACTTTGCTGCGTGTTTTTATCATAAATGGGTGCTGTATCTTATCAAATGCTTTTTCCACATCTACTGATATGATTATGTGGTTTTTGTCTTTCCTTTTGTTTATGTGATGTATTGCATTTATTATTTGCGAATATTGAGCCATCCTTGCATCCCTAGGATAAATCCCAGTTGATTACAGTGGGTGATCTTTTTAATGTATTACTGGATGCGGTTTGCTAATAATTCGTTGAGGATTTTAGCGTCTATGTTCATCAGTGATACTGGCCAGTAGTTTTCTTTCTTTGCTGTGTCTTTATCTGCTTTTCGGATTAGGATGACACTGGTCTCATAAAGAGAGTTTGGGAGTCTTCCCTCTTCTTGGTTTTTTGGAACAGTCTGAGAAGGACAGGGGTTAGCTCTTCCATAAATGTTTTGTAAAATTCTCCTGCAGTATCGTCCAGTCCAGGGCTTTTGTGTGCCAAGGGTCTTTTGATTACTCGTTCAATTTCACCAGCTGTTATCAGTCTGTTCAGGCTTTCTGCTTCTTCTTCATTCAGTTTTGGAAGGTTATATTTTTCAAGAATACTCTCTATACATTGATAACATATAACTTCAAATAATTCAGTTTATGTAAGGATCAGTTATATTTTTCACACAAATAACCCTAAATTAAAATTAACATTCTGAATTTTGAAATATGCACTGAATATGCCCTCTTCTTTCAGGTTTCATGTCTTTTACATACCGATTTTCCACCCAGAAAGCCCTTTCCACACTTTTCACACTCATCTTTCAAAGCTCAGATTAAAGTTACCAGTCTTGAAGTGTTCCTCAATTCCTCTGAATATAATTATTCAGTTTTCTTGTTTGCTACCATAACACTTCTTTCATAGTGACAGTTATACTGTAATAATTTTTTTCTCATCTAACCCCCAGTACGTAATTGGGTTGTACAATACAAGGATAGTGAGATAGTCTTTGATTTTGCCCCAGAACTTTGCACACCTGAATGTCTCTCCCTGAATAAATATTTGAATGAATGAATGAACAGTTAAGATTCCATTATAAGGCCATGCTCTCCTCAAAATTCAGTCATCTAATAAAGAAAAATTACAGAAAATGTCAGTATTCTGAGATTAAAGAACTAAACCAGACACTCTTTATATAGAAATTAGAACCACAAACTACCATATTTTGCCATGTATAATGCACACCAACATTTTTTGGCCCAAATTTTTAGGAAAAAAATCTTTTGTTTTAATTTTTAATTCAATTATTTATGTATTTATATTTAGATGCTTGTTTTTGTATTATGAAGGAGTTTTAGCATTTATTTTTTAACATATTATGGTACCAGAAATTTTATGTAACTAATAATTACAAAACACAAAAACAGATACAAGGTATTTCAGGTACTACCTGTGTAGAATGCACATCCTTATCTGTCCCTCAAAAATCTGGGCAAAAACATGTGCATTATACACAGCAAAATATGGTATTCCAATTGTGCTGTTTATATTAATTTGAGTTGAAATGCTGCCGAATGTCAAGAGCTGGACAGAAAAGGCAGCTGTGGTAACTTGCTCTAGTTCAAGTTCCCTCTTGCTGCCATATCCTACAGCATTCAAACAGAAGGATTTTAAATCAATGATTAAGGCTTGAACAAGGTATTTTTGTAAGTAAAAATATAAAATTAAGAAAAATTCTAGAGATCAGTATTTCTCAAACTTTTTTGCATAAGAACCTCTGGGGCTCTGGTTAAAAATGCAAACTAATTTGGTAGGTGTGGCTGAGAACTGAAATTCTGCATTTTTTAACAAGCTCTCTGTTGAGGATGCTGCTGCTGCTGGTCTACAAACCACACTTCAGCATAGACAAACAGTATATTTCCTTCAAAGTCCAGACTGGCCTTGTATCAGTTTTAACTAGCATATCCTTGTTAATATTCCCTTGCTGTAACCTATCTTGATGGTGTTAATCATGTAAAACATTACTGAAAATTCGATTTGAAGAAATCTGTATTACTTGAAAAATATTTATTTTTTCTTACCTATACTCTGGTAATGCCATCGAAAGAAAATGCGTTCGGGTAGAAACTGCAGTATTTTCTAGAAAACAAAAAAATTCATAAGAAAATAAACTGTTAATGAAATTATACGTTTCCATGATAGGTCCATAGTACTTGCCATATATGTTTCAGAAAAGAAAAGAAAAAATTATGTGCCATAACATAAATACTGTACTTTATCCTCTACCCCATGGGACAGTTTCTTTTACTTGCCCCATGCAAGCATCGTTGAATGTTTTAGAGATTCCTGTCCCATGTTTAATTCCCCCCTAATGAAAAACAAAAACAAAAAAGTAAAAGGCAAATGAAAATGTTATCTTAATTAAATCACTGCAATTGCTTAAATATCAAAAGAATAACTTCTCAAATGCCATGTTCCCCAGGTTTCTTGCTTTTTACCTTTCACTTCCCATTTCCATTATAACCATTGTTAGTCTCTGGACAAAAAACAGAGTTGGGAAGAAAGATGAACAAAAGAAGATAAGACCATAAACAATTCTGTGGAGTAATAAAAAGAAACTGGTGGCAAAAATTTCTTAAAATTAGTAATAGCTAAACATAAGTTTTAGGACTGTAGTTATGAATCCGCCCATTGGTACATACAATAAAGAACAAATTTATGATATACAAGAATATTTGGCTAATAAAAACAGCACCACCCCCCCAAAAACCCAAACCAATGAGGATGACTTTTTTTTTCACTCTAGGACAAGTTTTGGCAAGTTATCCTTGGGTATTATGATTCCTTCTACTTTATCTGCAATTACCTTTTTTTAAAAAAATGTAGAAATCCAAAACTGGACAAAATACATTTCTTGGTATTGATAATACTTTACTATGAAAATCCTACATCTAGGTTTATCTAGCCCAGAGGTTTTACAACCTTTTTCATCTCATGGTACACACAAACTAATTACTGAAATTCTGCAGCACATCAAAAAATGTATTTTTTGTTGATCTGACAAAAAAAATAGGTATAATTTTAATTCAGTCACACCGGATGGCTATGTTGTACTGTCTGTTGTCATTTTGTTTTTATTTGACAATGTATGGGAAAAGAGGTCAGTGCCCCTGACTAGTCAGGAATTGCATGTCTTAAAACTTCTTGTGGCATACCAGTTGAAAGTCATTGATCTATACCTAATATTCTAACATTCTGAAAGATTAAGGTAAAAAATTTGTATTCAGATCTCCTGATAAGTATATTTCCAAGCAGCTAATAAACTGCCTTCTGCATTCAAGCCAGATTGGGGTTTGGTTTGGTTCGTTTTGTCTTAACTTTCCAAGTGGGTCAGTAACAATACACATGTATTTACTTAATTTGTTCTCACTTGACAATAAAGTGATGCATAAGAACTTCTGGGAAAAGGCAAAGCAAGTAAACTTCCATCAAACATGACTTTAAACAGCACAAACTTTTCCCTCAGTCTGGATACTTTAACCATAGCCTTGCACAGAAGGCATGACCTGACCGTCCAGGTCTCACTACAATGTCACCTCCTCACAGAGGTCTTTTAACATTCTATCAAGAGGCCTCCTTCCTGTAACACCCAACTCATCCTTTCTAAATCAACTGTTCTATCTTCATAGTCCTCATCCCTAGGGAAAGGATCTTGGTTCACTCATTTCAAAGCAGCATTCCCTCTACCAGAGTATAAGCCACATGAAAACAATAGTATCTTCATCTTGTTCCCTGAAGTATCCCCAGCACCTGTGGTATGACTGGCACACTGTATGTGCTCAATAAATACTCATTAAAAGAATTCTGAATATTTTTAACTTGTGAAACTGTGAATTTTATAGTCAAGCCCAATCTTTGTTATGGTCCTATGTTCACGTTAACTAAAATATACTTTTTCTTTCTTTAAATATCATTGTCCTAAAAATATTTACATTAAAATGTGTGGGCATAGTTTTAACCCTTAGGAAAGAAAGCCTGAACAAAAAAATTTTAAAAACTAATTTTTCATTTTGATAAATAAAAGTATTAAAATATAAATGTACTTATTTATTATAAATTCTTCAAACTATACATCCTACACAGATAACAATGCTGTACAAACTATATCGAAGATTATTTCTGACTATGTATATTAAAAGCAGGATATAGCTGATAACATGCTGAAAATCACTGCAGTGAATGTTCTCCTGTATTTCCTTTACAGACTTCCCCAAGAACATGTTGGTTTGTTATTATTTAAGCCACTTCTCTAAAAAAAAAAAAAAACCTTTTATCTTATTTTCTATGTGATAATGCTGACATATACTCACTAATATACAGATATACACAATGTATTCACATGTATCAAATCCTATTGAATGAAAAATAGCTACACACAAGACACCAAACCTGGCATTTGCAATAAAATAAATGTGAATGAAGTACTTAGTTTTTACTTCTAAGGGTTTCATGATTAGTGAGCAAGAAGGACAGTAAAGAAATTACTGGGTTGGCCAAAAACATCGTTTTTTCCCATAAGATGGCTCTAGTACTGCTCAGTTGTCTTTAACGTCATTTGAAACAATTTTGTTAGATTCTACTGTGATAGCTGTCATATTAGCATGCATTAAAAAAATATATATATCACTACCAGATTGTTTTGATTAGTGTGGCCTTGTAATATAGTTTGATGTCAGGTATTATAATCCCTCCTACTTTGTTCTTCTTTCTCAAAATTGCTGTGATTATTTAAGATCGTTTATGGTTCTATGTAAATTTTTGAAATGTTTGTTCTATGTCTGTGAAATATGCTGCTGGTATTTTAATAAGGATTGCGTTGAATTTATAAATTACTTTGGGTAGTATACTCTGTGGGTAGAAATGCAGACTGCTGAAGCCACTGTGGAAAACAGTTTGGGATTTCCTTAGAACACTAAAAAAGGAATTGCCTTTTGACCCAGCAATTCTATAGCTAGGACCGTACCCCAAGAACAAAGACAAAGACAAAGAGAGAATCCTCAAGGCAGCAAGGGAGAAACAGGTAATAATATACAAGGGATTCCCCAATACGGCTAGCAGCTGACTTCTCAACAGAAACACTACAAGCCAGAAGGGAATGGAAAGAAATATTCCAAGTCATGAAAAGTAAAGGCCTACAACCAAGGCTGCTCTACCCAGCAAGGCTCTGAATTAAAATGGAAAATGAAATAAGGAGTTTCCCTGATAAAAGAAGGCGAAAAGAATACATCTCCACCAAACCAGCACTACAAGATATGCTAAAGGGACTGGTTTAAGAAGGTGAAGAAAAGGAATGAGAAAGAGAAAAAACACAGGTACAAAGGGAAAAAAATGAATAGGTTTCTATCAGTAGTTAACTCTCAATGTAAATGGACTAAATGCCCCAATCAAAAGACACAGCATACCTGAATGGATAAGAAAACATGACCCACACATATGCTGCCTACAAGAGACCCACCTCAGAACAAAGGACCTACACAGACTGAAAGTAAAGGAATGGAAAAAAAATATTCCAAGCAAATGGACAGAAAAAATAGCCTGGGTAGCAATTCTTATATCAGACAAAATAGATTCCAAAACAAAGACCAAAAAAGGAGACCCAGGAGGACACTTCATAATACTCAAAGGAAGAATCCATCAAGAAGACATAAACATTGTAAACTTATATGCACCCAACATAGGAGCACCCAAATATATAAGGAAAATCTTGGATGACTTCAAGAAAGATATAGACAGCAACACACTGATAGTGGGGATTTCAATACCCCACTGTCAAACATGGACAGATCTTCCAAACAAAACATCAACACGGATATGGTGGAGCTCAATGACGCATTAAATCAAATGGACTTAACTCACATATATAGAACCTTACATCCCAAAGAAGCAAAATACACATTCTTTTCAAATGGGTATGGAACTTTTTCAAAGATACACCACATGATAGGACACAAAGCAAGCCTCAGCAAATTCAGGAAAACTGAAATAATACCAAACTTTTTCTCGGACCACAAGGGCTTGAAACTGGAAATCAACCTCAAAGAGAAACCTCAAAAACTTGCAAACTCATGGAGACTGAACAGTAGACTATTAAACAATGAATTGGTCAACAGTTAGATAAGAGAAGAAGTCAAAAAATTTCTGGAAACAAATGAAAATGAAGAGACAACAGTCCAAAACCTATGGGACACAGCAAAGGCAGTCCTGAGAGGGAAGTTCATAGCAATACAGGGTTACCTAAAAAAGATAGAAATATTTCAAATAAATGACGTAAAAATACAACTTCAAGAACTGGAGAAACAAAAACAAATAAATGGCAGACTGGTGCAGCCATTGTACAAAGCAGTGTGGAATTTCCTCAAGAAGCTGAAAATGGAACTGCCTTATGATCCAGTGATTCCCCTGCTGGGACTATACACTAAGAACTCCAAAACGCCAATACAAAAGAACTTATGCACCCCAATGTTCATAGCAGCACAATTTACAATAGCCAAGTGTTGGAAGCAACCTGAATGCCCATCAGTAGATGATTGGATCCAAAAATTATGGTACATTTACACAATGGAATACTATGCAGCAGAAAGAAAAAAAGAACTACTAAACTTTGCAACAGCATGGATGGAACTCGAGAGCATTATGCTAAGCGAAATAAGCCAGGGGGCGAAAGACAAATACCATATGATCTCACCTATAAGGGGAACCTAACCAACAAAACAAACATGCAAGGAAAATAAGAGCAGCAACACTGAAAGAAAAAAGAAACCAACAGAGACAAGACGGAAGGAGGAAGGGTTGGGTGGGGGAAAAGGACGGGAAGGAACATATAGCAAGGATTCATGGATAAAGCCAAAGTGGGGAAGGATTGAGGGAGGGGGAGGGGGGCAAGGGAAAGTGGTGGAGGAAGGCAGAGACAAATGTATTTGAAAAAATAAATAATTAAAAAATAAAAATGCATGTACATGTAATTAAAAAAGAAAAAACATCAAAACTGGTCAATTTTTGTGTAGCCACTTTAATATTGAAGATGGAATAAAATACACATTTTGGCATATTATGCTTTATTATTTCAAGAAAGGTAAAAG